TGCTCCCGGCCTGCCTGGCATGGCTGGGCTGGGATTCTGCCCCAGCCAAACCAGGACAACAGAGTATTACATAAGTTTGGTTTTTATAGAAGTTTGATATTTGTTACCTGGGATTGTTCCCTGTGACTGAAGTAACTATGATTAGTTAGTTAGATTGTGACTGACTAACTAACTAACTAGCTGAGTTAGAAATGAAATTAATAGGGCAACAATGCAAAGGCCTTCAGAAACATCTGCAGTATCAATCTTAACATCAAGCCAGTCCATTGAGGGTTTTGTATTGACCTAGTCAGTGAGTTTTAAAACAAAAAAAAACCCAACCCCCAAAATATTCCACTTATCAAATAGTGAACAGCCTGACAAAAATTCTCACTTTCAAAGTAGGAGGAAAAATGTGAAAATATAAGCCAAGTTAACTCCTGCTCTGTTATTAGCAATGTTGCCAGTTTATGGAAGACACTGCTTCTAGAAAACCCTGTTGCAAACATTCTTTTTTTTTTTTGTAGTCATAGTATTAATTTTTCCTCAGATCAGCAGAAGTATTTTCATGTAAAAAACCCTATACTCTAGCTCACGGAATCTGTCCTGATCACTGGATCGCCTTCTGTGCTGACATGTGAAGCCTGATCTTACTTGACAGTTTCAATTAAGACTAAAGTCCATTACGAAATGGCCTGATAAGAATTAGTCTCAAATAAGAAACTACCTCCCTGTAAGCCTCTGATTCCAAACATGCTGTGTTTGAAAACAAAGTAATACTGTCCATCATTTGAGTTATACCAACTGCTGCTAGAAAGTCTGAAGTTGGAGAATTCTTTCTCCTTTACTGTTGGGAATGAAATAGAGAGGAATAAAAACGCAAGTCAATAATTAATGTAGCTCAAGAAATTAAAAAAAAATAAAATTGAAAGTAGGTAGGTAGAGTTCTTTCTTACCAGACCCTGATTTCAGATAAAGATGACATAAAAGAAACAACTCAAGCAAACTGAATACCAGAGTTATGTACAAGTTTAATTGAATTTGTACCTGAGGATTGTGCCCAAATTTTGCAAAATGAAGTGGTGAGATATTTTAAGTAGTGTTAGAAGGCCAGGAATGTAATTAATGACCTCATTAATTCTCTTATGAAAATGGGAAAGATTAGACTGATATTCTTGGAAGAAATGAAAATGCGATTGTCTCCAGGCTCATCTACTGAGGTCTGGAGTTATGTGGTTGAAGTTAGTGTGTGCTTCCCAACAGATGCTTGTAAACTTCAGAACAAATTTTCATTCTTTCTGTCAGCAAGTTCTTTTAATGCAATTTTAGTGTATTATACAACTCAAATTAACTGGGAAAATGGTTATATTAACATAGAACACTGTGTTTTCTCTCTTCATACACAATGTAGCTTTTAACTACATTAGTCAAACACTTTGCAAGAAAAAGATTAAACCTAGTGGGCAGGCAAGACTCTGTAGAAGGTTTAAAAAAATTGTAATTTTCAGCTGTCCTGCTGCGTCAGGGGTTTCTGCTTCTGCAGTTGGGTCGAATGTTAACTCAGGTGTTTGTATGATCTCCTTAGCAGGGTTTGCATACCCTTCTCTTACTGGTTTAAGAGGTAATCTATATGTTAATAAGTATTCACCACAAAAAAATGTTTTAACAGCCCTGTTTTCTTTCTGGCTTAAACAAAACTGCTTAACAATGAGTTTTGACTAACAGTTTTATTATTCTTCAATACAATACATGTCAAAGTTACTCCATCCAGTTAG